ATTGAAAGAGAAAATTAGTTTAGAGTTTCATTCTATTTCGGCCAATTGTACGCAGACAACACTTCGAATGCGTTGTTTCTCGAGATCCAATCTCCTAAATCTGCATGTACAATGTTGCAACGTAACACTGAAATGAAAACAGAAAATAGCGGAGCGATAAAATAGTGGCGAGGAGGAGCGATGCTCAGAAGGTGTTGAATATTTTTCATCAAGAACAGCAATCGTTCTTCGTCATCTTCGCAAGGCAGCTTACAAAAATAAACATCTTTCATTTCACAGTCTTAACAATCATGTCTTCGGTACGTGCGCGCTATAAAAGAAAGAAAAATTTCAGTAGAAACTGCCTTTAATACGTTCGAAACTAACAATAATTTCGCTGCTTGTCTCCATTGTTGTCGCCGATCATGCGACCGGTTTTCAATTTGTAATTTTAGGATAATTGAGATGGCAACGATGCTTCTACGGAAAATGATTGACTACATTTTTGTATTCGCGGGCGTATATTATAATGAAAATTACTAAAAGCCTGAATAAACGCGATGTTCTAATTTTTTTAAAAACGAGTCGCTTTTTGTGAAATACAATCTGCCTACTATACCAACTTAGCAAAGAAGGGTTGCGCATTACGTTCACGCTACGACCATAAATACTAACGTGCATAAAATTAATTCGACTATTTTTATAATCCATATTTTTATCATATTTTTATAATCGTGAACATCGCACGCATGCGACGATAACAAATGCGTTGATCTCTGTAAATGTAAATGTCTCTGGCGATGCAACACTTTCCCCGTGTTGACGAAACTCCGCAATTGCCGTAAGGGTGCAAAAATGAGAGAAAAACTAGTTTTCGCCACTGGAATCCTGCGCCTAATCGAATGGAAATTAAAACAATCCTCAGCTTCCTCCGTTAACGCAAGCACATTTCCCTGCATCGTCCGACTCTGCGGCAGCCATAAATGCACAACGGCCCGCAGTCTAATTACCACCCCACTCTCCCCCCGAAAACCGTACGCGTTCAGTTCAATTAAAACTTCCGTAAAAACCGTCGGTATCTCTTACGGCGTCTTTTTCAAGTCCCCCGCCGGTGTTCCGCTAATTAAAAGGCCTGGTTCGGGGTGCAACAAGAAGAAGAACATTTCTGGAACGCGCAAACATGGCGCCGTGCCATCGGACCGAAGAAACGAAAAATTCCCGAGAGTGTCGAAATTTAGCAAACAGCGAAGGCCTGCGAATATTTCGCAACCTCCACGGCCACCGCTATGAAACGAGAGGAATCCGGAAACGAAAAAAAAGTCACGTTCCATAAGTGTCATCGAAATGAGGAAAACAAGTATACAAATCGAATATTTGAGTCGCAGGGTGGTATAATATTTTTATTCTCGCTATACACAATATTATATTATTAATACACATAATAATATAATATTAATATTATATTTTTAATTATAATATTAATTTATAATATCATATAATATATAATATTATAATATAAATACTATAAAAAAATTACTATTAAAATTACTATACATAATAATATAATATTAATATTATATTTTTCATTATAATATTAATTTATAATATCATATAATATATAATATTATAATATAATATAATATAAATATAATTATAATTATATTTTCGCTGATAAATATTGTTAAAAAATATGTTCCGCAACTTATTTCGCGTTAACAAGACCACGCGCAAATATTGCAAAAAATCAAACAGTTCGACACAGATGTACAAAATTCGGTCAGAGAATAGTTTTCTCACCGCTTTCGGATACTTTTCGTTCTACACGATGGCCCGGCCGATTCGTGTTAGCGGGTAATTTGCGAACGGCTCTTAACACAGTCGTGGGAGCGAATTTCCATCGATAATTTCTGCGAGCGGGCCACGCGAATCGACGCCCGTCCCCGCGAATTTAAGGGGGCGACAAGGAGCCGCGGAGGCGTGAAATCTTCCGGCGAGGGCAGGGCCCGACCCGGCCCGGCCTGACCGCGATCAAATTTATGGAGATTGAATGACACGAACCGCCGAGTAATATTCGGAAAGGCTCCTTCGCTGATAAAAGGTCCGACGACTCCGTGAGTGGGCGTTCCCGGTGCATCGTGCAAATTTATTAGCATCGCCGACCGCAGGGGTCTACGGCCGAGGAAAAAAAATCTATGCGGCCGGCACGCGAACTATAGAGCCCCTGTTCTTCGCCAGGCCTCGATTCATCTTGAACTGCTCGCTGCCTTGGAAAATATGGTGAGTAGCTTCGGCGGGCAGTGCGATCGATTTTTACATCGTTAGATTAGAGTCGGCAGAGATTTGTTCTTTGCCGAGCAAAGAAATTAGGAAACTTCTTCTTTGCCGAGCGAACGAAGCGGAATTCTTGTTCCTCGACAAGCAAAGAAATTACAGTGCTTGTTCTTTGTCGAGTCTCCCTGCATCTTGAACTGTTGTCTTCAAAATACGAGCAGAAATCTGCTTCTGGCATGCAACAAGCTCGATTTCTTATTTATCCAATTGGAGCGTGAAAATTGTAAATTTACATGCTTTTTAGCGCAAGACTGGGTCGAACACTGATTAGAGCAACAAAGGAAATTGCAAGCGGATCTTCAGAATTTGACGGTGTTCGCAGATTTTGAGACATGATCACCGTGCAGCTCGGATATTATTGCAGGAGCCTCGAACCCGGTAATTTATTAGCTGCCGGAAATAACTGTGTTTTACGGGGCACAATGTTCGAGCACGTAACACCGTGCCGTTTATTACCGGAGGAATATAATTCCGTGGACATCCGCGAGATCCCCTGGACACAGAACCCGCGGAAAGATCGAGACAATGGACGAGCTTCTAAATCGCGATCTACAGGAATTTCTCGCAGAAATGTTCGGAGATCGGAATTGATTCTTCGAGCCTCGCGGCTCGTTTTTATAGAAACTCGGGGCAGTCGGCGAAAAAACGTAGCGGCCTGCGTGAAATTCACAGCAACCCGAGATTCGGCATTTCCGGGAGAAATATATGAAGTTTATTTTTATAGTTTCAATATAACTTTTAGGTGACTGAAAATAATTTTACTAAAATTCAAATGGAAAATTATAATTACAGTCGATAAATTGAATTTGGTCGCCTTTCTGATTTCGTAAAATAATGTACAACAATCCACGGTGCAATTAAAGTAATTCCGTATTGATAGTGAATGATTTTAGTGCCAACCGAACTAATGAGTTTCAAAAGAGTCGGCGAAAAAACGTAGCGGCCTGCGTGAAATTCACAGCAACCCGAGATTCGGCATTTCCGGGAGAAATGTATGAAGTTTATTTTTATAGTTTCAATATAACTTTTAGGTGACTGAAAATAATTTTACTAGAATTTCAATAGAAAATTATAATTACAGTCGATAAATTGAATTTGGTCGTCTTTCTGATTTCGTAAAATAATGTACAACAATCCACGGTGCAATTAAAGTAATTCCGAATTGATAGCGAATGATTTTACTGCCAACCGAACTAATGAGTTTCAAATTGTTCGATTTGCAATCGAGACTGAATAAATACAACGATGTTAACGAAATATAACATAGAAGACCCAATCGCTTTGAATGTTTCATAGTTTCGCTGTTAGGGCACGTGTATCTAAACAAATGTTCATTAGTAAGGAATTACGTGTTTGTTTATAATTATACGATACCGCATAATGTAAAGCGCACAATTTACCGGGGAAACTAATGCACACGATCGACTCATCAATTCTGTAATCGGCGCGGCACATTACGTGCTAATAAACAATAATAATAATAATTAATGGTTTACAAGCTATAATAAATAAACCGGATATTACTTAACGTCACAATGCTAACGCCTCGCACGGAGATAAATCCAAAAACACTAGTATGTCGTCAAAATCGGCGAATAAAACGGTATATCAATTAAGATGATTGCGTATGACAATCCCCATGGCACATTTAATGAGTATTTCATCCCCTCCGAAGCTCCGATGGTTCCGGTAGCATCAATTAATTTTGCAACGACAGTTGATCGAATATCAGCTTCTGTCTGAACACATTCTCATCCTAATGCTGTGCATTTCGTGCAGTCCTCGCGCTGTCGCAATATATCGCGCTGCTAGAATCGACAGTTTAATCAGCGCGCTATGTTCTTATCATCGTACTAATTCCTACTAATTTCACGCGTAAGACATCAATTATTTTATTTTATAGGATAAATTCGTACCGTTTTACAATTAAGTAGAAAAATCAGTAACGAACAGTTCTTTGAATACTTTGCGAGGCACTGAGAAATGCGGTGGAAAATCTGTGTAAAACCGCACCGGCGGAAACAAAATTAGAAAACAATTGCTCTTTATTTACATTAAAACGTTTAAAGTCGGTTCTTTAAAGATCGAAATTATTCGATGATTTACGCTCGTCGCGAAGAATTTCATTCGACCGCGAACAAGACGACCACACCCTAAAACTTCCCCAAATTCTTCGTTAACTCGGCGTCGTCGTATCGCCGCAAAATAAAAACAATTTTTAAGCTATCCAGCAGCTTTAAACAAATCGACGATAGTGCTAATGATAATGCATACAGCGTATCTTCGTATTTATGCTAACCAAATGATAAGCTCGACAAATCGGTAAAATTGAGTTGAAAATTTCCTTATCAAAATCATCTGTTGCAACGTTTTGTCAACGAAATTCCCTGAATAACACGGTACCGCCACAATATCCGGGTCACAATTTTGTAGCACGCCGACGCCGTATTCTGCAGTCTATTAATTACTTACGAGCAGAAAAATCGTTGGAAAGCGAATTTTCCGTCGCCGCGGAGCCTTTTCGCCATTTCGGCAAGACATCCGACGCAGTTATTTATAGCGGAAGATTCCGGGAAGAAATTTGCCGTCCCCCGATAGCGTGCAAATAAACACGTCGCGCGCAGAAACGTTCGCGATCGGTGCAGCGTTAACTGGGTCGTGAGAAAAATGAAAAGCGTTCGAGTCTCTACCTGTACTCACCGATCTTCGGTATGTTCCTGTCATGATTTCCCTCGGTGGTAAACTGAAACAGAAAACGAATCATCATGGTCACAGGTTAATGATCGCAGCGGCCGTAAATATCGTCATCGATCGGTTTAAATTTCCTACGACACGCGTCCGCCGGCCTCGAGCGATTCTATCGTGTACACAGCGATCGGCTCTACGCGAAGATCCTTTATTTCCATGCAGAGATACATTTTCCCCGTTAATGGTCGGCGGGGCGCATTCGATAGGCTGCCGTATCGCGAAGGAGCCAAATGGATTGGGCCGAAAGCTTTTAGCATGGGATAGAATTCTGCCGGGGAAGGTGAATTTATCGGTGCCACGACGGAGAGAGTGATTCTCCGTAATAAAGTATTGTCGTTGCGGTGTTTCGCCCGAGGCAACAACGTTTTACACGAACGACTCAACTGCACAGGTGTTTTCTGCGGGGCTCGAAGAGCGGCACTTCGATTTTTCTGCCGGGAACGTAATTAATAGACTGCGGATCTCTGCGCGAAATAGGAATTGCCTAAGTGATAGTAAGATGTTTGGATGAAAATTATATCTGCGTTAATTGTAAGAGATATAATTTCGATAAAAATAATCTAAATCAATTGTAAGAAATATATAAATTCGATAAAAATCATCCAAGTCAATTGTAAGAAATATAAATCCGATAAAAATTATCTAAGTCAATTGTAAGAAATATAAATCAGATAAAAATCATCCAAGTCAATTGTAAGAAATATAAATCAGATAAAAATCATCATCCAAGTCAATTGTAAGAAATATGAATCAGATAAAAATTATCCAAGTCAATTGTAAGAAATATAAATTCGATAAAAATCATCTAAGTCAATTGTAAGAAATATAAATCAGATAAAAATCATCCAAGTCAATTGTAAGAAATATAAATTTGATAAAAATCATCCAAGTCAATTGTAAGAAATATAAATTCGATAAAAATCATCTAAGTCAATTGTAAGAAATATAAATCAGATAAAAATCATCCAAGTCAATTGTAAGAAATATAAATTTGATAAAAATCATCCAAGTCAATTGTAAGAAATATAAATCAGATAAAAATCATCCAAGTCAATTGTAAGAAATATAAATTCGATAAAAATCATCCAAGTCAATTGTAAGAAACATAAATTAGACGAAGATCCTAAAATCTTCTGACAATCGTAATCAGTTGAAGATAATATAACGATAACGTTAAATTCTCTCCTAATATCTTTTTGGTTTTGTGTTCGACATATTCATTCCTAATAAACACTGAACGTCTTAAAGACGTCTATTTTACGTCCATTTTACGTTCATTTTAGATCTGAACGTCGTACGCCCTAAAATGGACGTCTTTAAGATGTCTTATGGACGACTAAAAGTTATCTTATGGACATTTAAAAGAAATCTTACGGACGTCTAAACGTCGTCTTATGGACGTTTAAAAGGCGTGTTATGGACGTCTAAAAGATATCTTATGGGCGAAGTTAATTGTAAGAAACGTAAGTCGTATAAAAAAAAACCTCTTCCAATGTCTTTACAGTTTTGTTTTCGATCGAGTCATTTTTGTCAAAATTCGGAATCTGTCATCTTGCTTTCGTCACTATATCGTAAGCCAACGAAAACACGTTTCAGCGGTTCGGCAAAACGCTCCGTTCTGCCGGGGTATCATTATTTTATTTCATACGTCATTAACACGGCGCGACCCATGGTACATTTCCACGAGGTCTTTCTAAGATTCTTTCTCGGTCGGCTAACATTTCTCTGAGAGGATCCCTCCTCCGTTTCCGAAAGTAAACCGAGTTTATTCGGGCGCTTTCCTCGGGAAATAGCGAAGAGTGTAAAAAAGAGGGAATTTCACAGTCGTTCCTCTTGACGCGAGATTCCTCGTAAAGAGAGCTGTTCCTCGGGAAGGTGAGAAACAGGAGAAGAGGATCGATGGATCCTATGGGTGGGCCGCGCGTTCGATCGACCTCGAATTCTGATTAAATCGCTCGTGCAGTTTTGCAGTTTTGCAGCGGAAGTTTTCGGATTGCGTTCGGTATTATAGCTCCTTCCTTGCATGCAGTAAAAAATGAAACGTGTGTGGAGAGATCTGTACGTGGCGAAAAAATACAGTAAATTCTCCCCAATCTTCCTTCAAACTTGTAAACAAAAATGGACGATTTGGAAAGAGGAGATATGACAAACAAAAATAGTGATTCTGACGAATGTTATAGTGATGTAGTTATAACATAAAAATTAATTATAAAAAGCATTCTATTCGTGTCAATGGCTAAGGGTTAACAGCATTACTTTTCATAAAGAGTCCTAGCAATAAATAATTACTCAAAATCTTGTAGTACTTTTTATTTACACGAATAATGGCTACAATGTGATGCAACGTAAACTAAAAATAGTAACAAATAAAACAGACCATGCATAGAATGAATAATGGCAGCTCACGGTAAATGTATCCGGATTTATGACTTTAATTTTACGGGAAATATTTTGGAATTATTTCTTACCGCACGAAACTGTGACAGAATCCAAAATATGCGATGTCAAAGAGAGAAATATTTGCAAAACAGAATGCGGTTTCAATATAAATTCACTGCTCAAAAATATCATGGCATAGAAAAATGTCGATGACGATGATTCATATTAAAGCTTGAAACATCTACTTTAAAATAATATTTTTGGATTTTAACTTTAACGCATTGTCGCCACTGTAACCCTTTAAATATGAGACCCTGTTTGTCATACTGGAAATTGCCAAGTTTTGACGAAATGCACGGACTTTGTAAAATTTTTTTCGGAGATGCCGTTCGCAGCTGAACGAAGTTTCACCCTTCCCCTTTATTTGAAAAAAAGAGAAACTCGGCTGCGATTTTTTCTCGCAAAGATGCCGTGCTTTGAAGTAATCCTTGCAATAAAACTTGGCAACTTTCGACATGACAAACATGGCCTCGCATTTAAAGGGTTACAGTGGCGGGGATGCGTCAAACTTAAAATCGAGAAATACTATCTCAAAGTGAAGGTTTTACGCTTTAATTTGAAATAAAGGGCATCATCCTGCGATGATTTTTCGCAGAGCTATCGTCGGTCAAAGTTGACAAATTTTTGTCCAAAATTGTTTTCTATGCTGTCACATTTTCGAACAGTGTATTTCTAGATTCTCGTCGAATTCGCAGAATGTACGAAATAGAAGAAATTTGATCCGCATGACGGATCGAGAAATATTTCGTTAGAAAAGATTTATTCCACAAAATCCGTGATCTGGTCACAAAGACAGGTGTCGAGTTTCACCGGCGCGGCGCGCGGCTCAGCCCAGCGTATCGTAATTCCGGTGGTCCCGCCTTTGCGAATATTTTCGCACCGACGCTCGCGAATACAATTTTCGCGCGTGCAAAAAGTCCATCGGCAGAGTGCATTTTCGCGTGTGTTCGCCGAGCAGTTTCCTGAATTTCGTCTGCGTCTTTTCCGAGCCGAGTTCCTTCGCGCCGCGAACGTGTCTCAAGAACGTGTCGAACTCCGTCTCCCTTTCTCTCTCTCTCTCTCTCTCTCTCTCTCTCTCTCTCTCTCTCCCACTCTCTTTGCGAATCGTTAAATTGCCGAGGGAGAGTCCCGCGGAAACGATACCGATGCATCTCAGAACTAGTCGCGAGTACGTGATAAGGTATCGAGAACGTGGAAAAAATATAAAACGTAAAACAGGTGTAGTTATCTTTCTACGATTCGAGTTTTTGTTTTTTAATGATCGTAAAAGATTTACAGACCGCGAAACTAGGGAATATCAATGTCTGCATATAAATTAACATTGAATTTACAATTTTAGAAGAAATTAAATATACTCTGACGCGTGAACTAGCGATTAAAAATCACGGTGCACAATTTTCCTTTGTCGACCATTTTCGCAACTGTAAAATTGACGATGTTCGTAACAATTCTGGGCTTTATTCAGCAATTTTTCAAAACATATTTTTCAAGATATTTCTTGCAGACTTGTTAACTAGTATAAGCCTGATGTAACTATATATTAGTTCCTAATTTTATTTAATTGTCGAAAATTTGAATAACGAAACGGACGATGTAAATACTCCGGGTCAAAACTGACCTAGCCACCGCCTCGCGAGGGTTAAGAAGAGGAAACAGTAGAGCTGAATGCTCTAGTCGCATTGTGACTAAGAATGCGATTAGGTTAACGCTTCGACTGCCAAATGAGAACTGAAAAGTTAAGTTGTAAACCGCCGCTTTCATTTTTTTACATTCTCGCGGATTACGAATTCTGATAATATTAATTATTAATTTATTTATAATATCATTTATTAAAATCTTCAAGTCCGAGCAACTAATTCCTCCCACGTACGGCTGTCACGGAAATCAAAGGGTTGGAAACACAGCATCGGTCGGCATGTGAATTCGAAATTACATCGAGCTACAGAGGTTTAATTAAGAGTTCGTCGTCGTTCCGATGCAATATAAATGAGCCGCGTAAATACTGATGCTTGGCTGCTACGTGCATCGACGGTGGAAGACCATTTAATGAAGGCAATAATTCAGGCAACTCGTACGTTAGCAGTGCTGCGAAGCGAATGCGCGGATTGGTATGAATGTGACCGAAAGCTTTAGATCGTTGCGCGAAGTTGAACGAATCGAACGAGAGGGACTTGCCTTTGTTAAATTGTTAAACATTCTGCGTTACTATATTATTTCGTTGTCCCCATGAAATATTACGATATACAGGATGTAGAAATCTGACGACTTTTTTAATACGAAATTACAAATTTCAAATAGAACAAAAAATTTAAAATTTCTTTTATTTTACTTTTACGAGAACACACACACACACACACACACACACACACACACACACACACAGAGAGAGAGAGAGAGAGAGAGAGAGAGACGATTCGGGAGTTGTAAGAAAATATTCGTAATGAAATTGATGCAATTCCTATGAATTCAATGGAAAATGTACGAAACTATTGGGTTGGCAACTAAGTAATTGCCGATTTGTTCAATGAAATAAAAAATTTTTTTTTACTTGGAATG